AGAAAGGAGGGAGGAATGGACTGGGTCAATGATCGTTGACCAGGTAGCTCAATCGGTTGAACGTCCGTCAAGAGTTCGGAGTGTTCCTGGTTCGAACCCCGGTCTGGCCGTTACATTTTCTCTCTCTCCTGTTACATTTGTTTAATAATTTTAAATCATCACGACTGAGTCGTTTAAATGAAAATCGCAAACAAAACTCACGAAAACAAATGATTTACGCTAATAACATACCCGAGGCTATACGCATGGTGTTTGGTTTGAGATGCGCACTGGCCCTGTTCATCCATGGAGTGTGGGAATATTACAAGGAACAGCATTCTTACATAATGGTCACCTCGGTTAATCGTCAGACAAGTGGTCAGTTAGCAGGATTATGACCAGGAAGTCTGCACGGACTTAAACAAATGGCTCTCCGCTACATAAATGGTCGTGAAACGGGAAGGGAGGGACCACCTATTATTGATGGGCGTTGAGTACAGGAAATGGGCGTGACTTCTTATTACTAAGCATGTAGGGGAAGGAAAGACCGTAAAATTAGCAAATAAATAAGAAATGAAATAAGATAAAATAAATAAAGAATGGAGGAAGGGACGGAGAGAGGAAGGAGGAGGTTTCTCTTGAATTTATTCACTAATAGCAGCAATGATCATACAAAAATACGTCTTTTAAAAGAAAGCTTACAGCTTACATAATTTATCTCCCTGAAATCAGATGAAGATGTGTTTTATTGAATTGTTTTAGACAAGAACACGTGTTAGCGAATATGTAAACAATTACCAGGTATAATCAACGTTCAACACAGCTGCAAATGAGCAATATATTTTAAAATTTATATTTAAGGCAGCATCGTTTGGCTTTTATCGTACCATTATTTGTGTACTTTAAACAAGCTCGCACAGAGAGAATCTTACACGTATCATCTCACTCATCATCTTGTATTCTGCCACTTCTGTTTGTTACGTCAGTTTTCATTGGCCAATCTCGATGACATGTCGTGCGCATGTCAATTATATACGCATGCAATATCCACATGTGAAAATAATTAAGGTCGAAGAGACTTTTAGAGGTTTCGGAAACGTGCAAAGTAGATGAACGGTTGGAATGAAAGAGCAGATTTTGTTTATATACTGTCAATATCCAGTAATAGCCTAAATGAAAACAGGACAACGATTTTCTGATTGAAGAAACGTTTATTACGTGTAATAGTCTTGACGTAGTAAAATGCATTTAGTCAATTTCAGTGAATGATGATTGTTGAATAAATATCACCGAAGGCCCAAAATATAACCTTACGATTTGAGAGGTTGTAAATGTGCGCCATCATTGAAAAGTAAATATGCATCGATAATGGTGATTGGCCCGATTTCCTTGTCCACAATAACTGACACTCACAATCAATGTCCAAAATATCTCTCACTCTCGGTATAATCTCGGTTACAAAGAAGCTTGAAATAGTTTGCTTCCTACCACAGACCACGCCTACGATCACTAGCCCTCAACCAATGGGTCGAGAGCTCGAGGTTTACGTGGGGCAGTCGCTAGGTACGTACCGCAGGTCAGTGTCTTTTCTACGGGTACTCTGGTTTCCCTCCACCACCAAAATGACCACAGCTGTTAATAGGACGTAAAGCAAACCAAACCTCCCTTGACCCGGGTAAATTTTGATGATCTCGATGACCTTGCAAATCAGGATGTCTAGAGATATTTTGTTCTCAATGTGGAGAATGTGTTACGACTGTTTCCATATCAGGGAAATGTTTACGCCGAATCCTTGTGCAACGCTGCGATTTCAATTAAATGTAACTACATTTACATAATAGCAATTAAATGCTTCAAATTTCTCATCTTCATAACACACGCTCTGTAACTGTTTACGCGATATTACGTTGCGTTTCTTTTTTTAAGAAAACCAATAGTTGTTTTGTAGACAAGAGGCAACTATCTATTAGTCGCTGTAAATTATCAATAACACGTTGTTTGTTGTAATCATCATGAAACAAACACCCCCATTGTGACAGACGATCATCGAAATAACAAATTCAAACACGGGAATATTAATTTCTGTTTTGTCACAACTTTTGTTTATTTGAGAATTAATGAAGATCGTGGCCTAAATTCTGGAATCCATAAAACTTAAAAACTTAAAAAATATATAACTCAAAATGTGTCTGGAGTAACTCAAATAGTGTTACATGTATGTACAGATACAACACCCAATGGACCCCTTAACGGCATTCTGTACAGACATTTGGCAATTCGATGACACTAAACTTCGTAATAAAAAGATCAAAATTTGTTTTCTCTGTTATTGCCTCGTAAAGTCCATGTCGCCAATAATTTACCAGCAGAATTTCCCATCAAAGCTCACATACATGTAACGAGACACCACCGCGATCGCTGATCGTTCTCTCCCAAACCTAGGTATCGATTAATCACAGTAAGTTCAACTGGACGTGACCGAATTCCGGGTTAGTCAGACGGGACATTCCCTGGACAGGGCTCATGTTACTTTGCGGTCAAACCTGGGGTATGTCCAGTGTCCGGGACATTATCAATACTAGCGGTGTCCGAGGGTCCTGTTTCCATATCGACTGCCGTTTCACGCGCCTCGGGATTAATTTCGAATGTACGCGTGGAGCTATTTCCGCCATTATGATAGGGAGTCATTCGCACAAAAGCGATGGTCTTGTTCTTGAAAACAAACGAAGCGAAGAATTAGAATTCCATTTAGTGGAAACTGTAAAACTAATCATGGTGCCCCAGTTTTCGGCCATGTTTGATCTGATAATAGATAAGGCTTTCCCTTTAAAGAGTTAATCAAGATTTCATAATGGTTTATAAAACACTGTACTTCAAATGGCAAATTTCGAAAGCATCAACTAATCGGAAAGACGAGGGAGGATTTCAAACGACATGTTAAAAAGGGTGGCAAATAAAACAAGGGGTATTATATAGAGGTTTTACAATCAGCGTCAGCTGTTAACGAAAGAAAGAGGATAGATACGTGTTGAGGGAGGGAATGAATGTGTGTGTGTGTGTGGGGGGGGGGGGGGGGGGGGGGGGGGGGGATGTTGGACCGAAGTAAACGAATGTATACAAGATATATTGAGTACAAAGAAGACTAGATATATTTACTAAAACCGGACTTAATATATTTAGTACAAATGAACTAGATCTATTTTAGTACATAGGAACTAGATATATTAAGTACAAAATGGACTAGACATTTTTAGTACAAAAAAAATTAGATGTATTTAGTATAAAATGGACTAGACATTTTTAGCACAAAATAAAATAGATGTATTTAGTATAAAATGGACTAGATGATTTAAGTACAAAATGAACTAGATATATTTAGTACAAAATGGACTAGATGATTTAAGTACAAAATGAACTAGATATATTTAATACAAAATAAACTAGACATATTTAGTACAAAATGGACTAGATGATTTAAGTACAAAATGAACTAGATATATTTAGTACAAAATGGACTAGATGATTTAAGTACAAAGCGAACTCGATATATATATAATATAAAATAACCTAGATATATTTAATACCAAATGGACTAGATGATTTAGTACAAAATGAACTCGATATATTTAATTGAACTAGATATATTTAGTATAAAGTTACTTAAAACGGCAAGAAAAAAATATAAGGATGAGGTTACCTGTACTTTCTAGAGAACACAGCATTAAAAAGTGGGTATTCATTACAACATTAAAGCTAACTTACCGGTATGCTCAACTATCAGGTAAAAACTCAGCTTACTCGCGAATACTCAGGTTTCACGACCCTGTTACATAGTTCCGCGCCATTAGCAAACATTACGCTCATAGAAACGCATCTTACCGGCATAACACACTCATGCTGCAGTTTTAATGATCATAATATAGGTCGTACAACACACGAAGACAGCCGTAATAAAAATAACTCAAACCTTTATAGGAACAGCATTAAAGGCGTTGAAGAATCTAGAATCACTACAAATGACCATAAATAAAGAATATCAAAAGATCGAAAAATTGAAACCCCACAAAAGATGTATTAATGAGAAATGTTGGGAAAAAATCGAGAAATTTCTTTGATGTAGCAGTGAACCTCATATAGATGCTGACAGTTACTGTACGGCATGCTATATTTGTGGGTACTCCTTTTTGTGGCTCTATGTAAACGCCAGCCAGATGTCATCTATTGACATCCGGTATCGAGTGATTTATCCGCTTTATAACCTTCGCGATTCCTATTTATCCACGAAAACCGCCAACGTAAAAACACCACCAACATGTTTATGTTACATAGAATGCTTTTAATGTAAAAAAAAAATGTTCGCGATATGTAGAAATTTTCGCATCTATTTTTCAAGTAGCATGTCAGCGCAAAAGTATGTACACGGTACGGTGTAACATCTGGAAACGTATTGACATTTGATAAAAATAGAATATAAAATAACTCAATATTACATCAGACATGGCGAAGAATGACTAATAAGATCTGTTAAATTGGAACTATAATCACAGTATACATTATAATGTAAGTGAAATAGTATCACGAAGATAGTGTTGTCATACCCCAGGTTTCAGAAAGTGACATTGTATCCCCCCCTACCTACAGTCATGTACGCAATATACAAAAGCTCAAGAAACACGTATAGATGATAATAAAATTGATTGTTTTCAAATTGTACTACCTTTGAATAATACTTCGTCAAATATACGACTTCACGTTATAAATTCAAAATACAAAAATTTGTTCTGTTCACTCTTTTGATCTTCAAAATTCATCTAAATAGCGAAAGTCGACTAAATATTCGTGAGGTATCAAAATTCGCGAGCACCTCTCTTCTTGAATTAATTGCGAGTACACTCGCGAAAATTACGCTATTCACAGCAAGCCAACATCTTTAATTGTTTATATGTTTACGTGTTATTAAAGCTTTGATTGTTAATTTGTTTACGTGTTTTTAAATCTATCATTGTTTTGTTGTTTGTCAGATCGTGAAGATGCTGGTGACCATTGTGACGTTTTTCGGTCTGTGCTGGCTACCTCTACATTTATTTATCCTCGTGTTGGACTTCAATCCTGGATTGGAGGCCGATTCTCAGATCCTACCAACACTCAACATCCTGTATTTCCTCGCTCACTGGATCGCCATGTCAAATAGTTTCGTTAACCCCATCATCTACGGATTCATGAACAATAGTTATAGGGTAAGTCATCTCGACCTCAGCATTTTTTCATTTATCGACTTTCGTTGAGGTGAAAATGTGATTGTATGAACCCGAGAAAAAGATAATAACACATGTATTTCCCATAATAAACGTGTAATATCAAGAACTGTTTTTTTCCACAAAAGTACACGAGCACTCTTAGACGGCAGATCTGGGCGTATAGGTCTAATTTGAAGTGATACATTCATAAAAGACGGATTGCTATTCATGTAGGGGGGCACCTGTTTACGAATCACATTGGTCCGCTATTCACGACTTCTTTTCCGTTTTTTTGTCATTATCTTCCTTGTTTTAGCATCACTTCGCCTGATGAGACAATATACATGTTGTAAAATAACTAATTTCGTACATGAGGTTTTGTTAATTCACGCCGGAAGAAAATGTTTTATTGTTGGTTTGTGGGGCTGGTTGGCTCCACAGCAATAAGACAACCCTCACAGTCAATTTCCGTCATTCAATGGAAGCACATCCTATAATAATGTATTCTACCTCCTGCGACGTTCCTATTAAAACAAACGGTTTTCCGAAGGGTTGGGGGCATATTTTCTAATTGGCTTTTATAAGCTTCAAATATTTCTTTTTCAATACAAAGCACATACATGTACAAGCATGATACATGTAAAGGACCAGTCATCACAACCAGAATTCGCTAACTCTGATATAAGGACACAGTAAGAGGCTCTGTACACTCTACAGTAATATACAGTACACGTCTAAAACGGTTATTTAGGTTTAATAAACTAAAACATGTATTCCCACACCTTACCGGTGAATTGCAGTTGTTTTTTCTACAGAAAAGATAAACTTGTCTTTACCTACTTAGAGAAAGATACCTCACATGCGCTTTTAACCTGAAAATGTCATCATCGCGTCATCACTTTATGCAGCATAACTAGTGAAGCGTCATCAATTTTGTCATACGTTTCACCCGTCCTTGGTGATGCGGTGCATGGGTTTTCCATCACAACTTTATTTTTTTGGGAAGAAATCGCGAGAGAGCAAAATAGCATCACCCCTATGTGACGCAGACGGAGATTCATAAACCCATAGATTTTTTTTGAAGTTTAGCACTTGGCTAAACCCCGTGATTAATTTAAGAAATCTAACCCCCGGAATGAGATTACATATTTCTCTATAGGTTGAGAATTTTTAAGTTCAACACTCGGCAAAACGCCTTGATTAATTTAATTTCAAAAACTTACTCACAGAGGGGATTTCTCTAGGCTGAGATTTTTTAAGTGTAACACTAGAAAAAGCCCCTTGATTAATTTTGAAAAATCTTACCCTTGGGTTGAAATTCCTCCCTCTAAATAACACAGGAGAGATTATTTTCTATTTGTCACATTTAAATGTGATTGCAATCCAACACTTGTGAAATACTTGACAGTTAGTTTTCCCTCCCTATACCGGTACCTCTCTACAGCTGTCACTTGTCCACTCGAGTTCACAAACTGTCAATACGACTTGTCAATTACGAAACGTTTCTTCTGCCTAGCCGGGCGGTCTTATTGGACAGGTTTTTTTTATCGTATCAATATTGATACATTGTAATAAAACCTGGTGAACATTACTATAGTGATAAAGCGTGTTTGCAGGTCATATAAGATGTTATATTACCCCTGTAATAAGACCTCGAACTTCTTATTTAGCTGGAACCCATCGATTGTTATTTATTGATCTAATCGAATAACTGAATCTGGAAGTAGTTCCGAACAATTGAGCGCCATTTTATCCCATTATAATATCACTATCCCGTCCTCGGCGTTGTTTTGTTCGCCATTAATGTTCGGTTCAAGGTTTTTTTCGGAGAACGAATTTAACATTGGTATGGAGTCATGATGGTCAATGTTAAGCAGAATATATGAAATGCGTTTGAAGGCGAATTGAAGGCGAATTGAAGGCTGTAATAGAAGGCTGTAATAGAAGCAATGCCACAATTATTGCGTGAATGAATATACATGAACATGCACTTCATATATCAATACGCGCACTATACTCCTGGAATCTGAGACGTCAGATGATCAGATTGCATAGCACGGGACCTTTTAGAGATTGAAATTGTCAGTCTTACGTACTATTTTAACTGTATCTCTTATAAAAATGTTTATCACAGAAAGTGAAGACAGACATGCACAGTTATCGAGCATGTACATGAACTATCTTATTATTTAATGGAGCGTGATCATATTTACCTATGTACTTAATATAACCTCGACCCTACATCAACATGCCAAGCGCCAATCTAGTGATAATCTCAATTTATAAAGTTTATTTTTAAGATAGGTTTACATATACAATGTACATGTATAGATAAGGAAATCAGTGTATGATAAGGGTTAGCATGCCGGCGTCTAAGATCAACATGTCATGCGCAGACAAGGTTATCCGCACGTGTAGGCTTTTTAAAGAAAAAAATTATTTAAAGAAGATATCATACAATCAATGACTTGATATTTATGAATACCGATATCACTAACACTAAAATATATAGCAGTCTTTATAAATATGTAGAATCATCAACACCAGGGGAATTTACACCTTGTTAGTTCAACAATTGACGACAGATCTTTTTAAGATAAGATTGACACGCCCAGATTACACGTCATCATTACGTCATAGGCACGTGAAAGTGTAAACAGATCATGATATTAAAATCAAAGCTGTCAGAGAATACAGCGTGTCAGAAGTCACGTCCTTCCGACACGAACATAGTGGCTTATTCACGGAAACATACAGGTTTAATTAAATATTTACACGATGTATTTGAAAACCAAATTTGACTTCTTAGCTTCACATTTGTGAGGATAGCACCTCCAATGTTTTTCAGGGTTACCTCCCCTTGATGGACTGACTTATACTATATACTGAGAGTGACAGACAGACAAAACATGTCTTTGGCGAGACGTTTTTTTTCCTTAACATCCTATACTTTCTGTCAAAATGATTCACAGGGTTACCTTTCTCTTTCTGTCGAAAAGATTCGCGGAGTCATCATTTTTAATGTAGAGAGATCCGTTGGGAGATATTTTCCTACAGATTTTATGTTATTTCTTCCATATTCATACAAACAATAATATTTTTATAAATATATATGTCAATGACATATAAATAATGACTGGTAACACAGCGGATACATTCCTTGTTATATAATCATGAGGTCTTTGAATAGAATCCATGTGGCTTGGCGTAAAAAGGAATTTTACATGTACATATTTCATTTATATAACTCTTTACTATAGGGAATGGTCGAAAAGCTCCAAGATAGAAAAATGCCAAACAAATTTTACCTCTTTTTTTAAATTGTGCTAGGACTCTCTACATTATTAAGTCATTACGTCTTAAAATACAACTTCTAACGTCTCAAAGTACAACTTCTAACGTCTCAAAGTACAACTTCTAACGGCTTAAAGTTCAACTCTAACGTTTTAAAGTTCAACTTCTAACGTCTCAAAGTTCAACTTCTAACGTCTCAAAGTACAACTTCTAGCGTCTCAAAGTACAACTTCTAGCGTCTCAAAGTACAACTTCTAGCGTCTCAAAGTACAACTTCTAGCGTCTCAAAGTACAACTTCTAAATTCTCAAAGTACAACTTCTAACTTCTCAAAATACAACTTCTAACGGCTCCAAGTTCAACTTCTAACGTCTCAAAGTTCAACTTTTAACGTCTCAAAGAACAACTTCTAACGTCTCAAAGTTCGACTTCTAACGTCTCAAAGTTCGACTTCTAACGTCTCAAAGTTCGACTTCTAACGTCTCAAAGTACGACTTCTAACGTCTCAAAGTACGACTTCTAACGTCTCAAAGTTCAACTCTAACGTCTTCAAATTCAACTTCTAACGTCTCAAAGTGCAACTTCTAACGTCTCAAAGTTCAACTCTAACGTCTTCAAATTCAACTTCTAACGTCTCAAAGTGCAACTTCTAACGTCTCAAAGTCCAACTTCTAACGTCTTAAAGTTCAACTTCTAACGTCTTAAAGTTCAACTTCTAACGGCTCAAAGTACAACTTCTAACGTCTCGAAGTACAACTTCTAACGTCTCAAAGCACAACTTCTAACGTCTCAAAGCACAACTTCTAACGTCTCAAAGTGCAACTTCTAACGTCTCAAAGTTAAACTTCTAATGTCTCAAAGTACAACTTCTAACGGCTCAAAGTACAACTTCTAACGGCTCAAAGTTCAACTCTAACGTCTTCAAATTCAACTTCTAACGTCTCAAAGTCCAACTTCTAACGTCTTAAAGTGCAACTGCTAACGTCTTAAAGTACAACTTCTAACGTCTTAAATTACAACTTCTAACGTCTCAAAGCACAACTTCTAACGTCTCAAAGTGCAACTTCTAACGTCTCAAAGTTAAACTTCTAATGTCTCAAAGTACAACTTCTAAATTCTCAAAGTACAACTTCTAACGGCTCAAAGTTCAACTCTAACGTCTTAAAGTTCAACTTCTAACGTCTCAAAGTGCAACTTCTAACGTCTCAAAGTTCAACTTCTACCGTCTTAAAGTTCAACTTCTAACGTCTTAAAGTACAACTTCTAACGTCTTAAATTACAACTTCTAACGTCTCAAAGTTCGACTTCTAACGTCTCAAAGTTCAACTTTTAACGTCTCAAAGAACAACTTCTAACGTCTCAAAGTGCAACTTCTAACGTCTCAAAGTGCAACTTCTAACGTCTCAAAGTTCAACTTCTAACATCTCAAAGTTCAACTTCTAACATCTCAAAGTACAACTTCTAACGGCTTAAAGTTCAACTCTAACGTCTTAAAGTTCAACTTCTAACGGCTCAAAGTACAACTTCTAACGGCTCAAAGTACAACTTCTAACGGCTCAAAGTTCAACTCTAACGTCTTCAAATTCAACTTCTAACGTCTCAAAGTTCGACTTCTAACGTCTCAAAGTTCAACTTTTAACTTCTCAAAGTACAACTTCTAACTTCTCAAAATACAACTTCTAACGGCTCCAAGTTCAACTTCTAACGTCTCAAAGTGCAACTTCTAACGTCTCAAAGTGCAACTTCTAACGTCTCAAAGTACAACTTCTAACGTCTCAAAGTACGACTTCTAACGTCTCAAAGTTCAACTTTTAACGTCTCAAAGTACAACTTCTAACGTCTCAAAGTACAACTTCCCTTATCGTACTGGCCCTAATTGACTCCCATTGTCGACAATATCAAAACAATCCCTTATCGTACAATGTATCTTATCATATCTGTATCAATGGATCTAGCGGAATATCTCGACAGACGCTTAATCATAAGATACAGATATGCACATCGCCTTAATTGAACCAATATCGTTAATATTTTGCCTGAAACACAATGCTGTAAATTGGGTTTTCTCCGAACGAATATTGTCTTAAGTATGTTTTATGATAGCACATTAAAGAACAGACTCTACATTTCCATAAAGTGTTTGCAGACCAAAGTTTAACAGGTGATTTATTAATTGATTTGATCAAGAATTAACGTAATTGAACATATGAAGATGAACGGATTCCAAAAATGGTAAATATAAGTATTGAACTGCTTGCAATTGGCATTCATAGGCATTATGAATNAAAATATAGAAATACCCACTTACCATCCTAATATGCTTCGTGACAAGTTCCACCTGGACAAATGCAAATCCAACAGGTTGCGCTTCATTGAATTTGCCTTTGCCCAGTGGGCATTCATATTTCTTATGAATGCAAACCGAAAGCAATTCAATGCTTAAATGAAGGGTAGTATTATGAACCTTGGTATTGCAATATATGAAATCAGTCAGTTACAGTATCTGAAATGTCCTGTAATATGCGTCCTTTGGCAACCAAGGACTCAATGCATTCCGATTGTTAAAGGGCCTTGTGTTATCGGAAAAATGTATGAGAGCAGATGACACGGAAGGAAAAACAATCCAATTTTTACCCGGTCCTCACATTAGTCGCCTCCTATGATCATGCAGTGGGATAAAGCCTAAGGGGTTCTCACATTAGTCGCCACGCTAGATCATGGGGTGGGATGTTGGGGTTCCTTTCGTCTTTGCGTATTGCAGAGTTATCTTCTCTGGTCAGTAGGTATTGATTGTTACGTCATTGGTTTGTGTGAGAAAATTACGTCGTTTTCTCAAAAATTGACGACGTTACTCTCACAAACCACAACTCACAACAATCAATACCTGCTCACAAGAGAAGATAACTCTGCAATACGCAAAGACGGAATAGTAGACTTCAGAACAATTCCTCATATTTTGCATTTATCATCACATTGTATGTGATTTGTGATATCAATATCGAACTATTAATCTTTAATGATATCGCTGTTTGTTTGATTTTTTCCAGGCTGATTTACGGACCCTTATATTCACCATCTGCCCTTATGTTAGAGGTGGCAAACGTATACGTCACGGAGCTGTTAAATGGAAGTCACGTGGTCACGTGCGAGATGACGCGTTCGACTACGAGAAAAGTAGTCACATCATCCAAGGACTTTTACGGAGTAACACAGACTACAGAAACGGCCGAACGTCGAAAACGACGGTGACAAAAAACTCATCAACGAAGAGTTTTTAACGTGTATCTTGTTCCGGCTGGAAAGCGTCTTCCAGTTGGAAGCATGTATAAATTCCGTGAGTTTAACAGTGATAAATAACACTCAGGTTATACGTGAGATCCAAGCCATAACTACTTCCAAGGATTCATATCTTATCAATGAAATCTCGTTAATGACGTCATCAATAAGTGACGTCATCAATACATGCGCGTGTATAGTAATGCTGATGTGAGTACAATAGTTTACATTTTGAGTACACGTTGTGAGTACGAGTTACGATGCTGCATGATGTGGGCCAAGTGTCTTCACGCACTTGCCTTACCCTTTTGCCATTCTTTCTGTCTGTCCAATCTCAGTGCACAAAAATGCAACGACATCTGGACGCATTCTTTATTCCTTTACAATTGGGCATTGTAAAATATCCGAACACTCGTAACAACTTTAATAAGGGGTCAATATTATTTTTTTCACCTTGTAGAATATTCGAATTCTTTGTTGCCAACGATTTGCATGGCAGCACCATGAAACGATTCGCCTGTTCGTAAGATCGACTTCCTGTGTTAATGCCGGAAATGTTCGGATTTTGTTATTTAAAACAAACTCAATTTCATATTTCTTATCATATTTTTATAAAAAAAATAAGATTAAAATGTAATTCATTTGAAAAAAAAGACCAACATTTAGGATGTATGGTCTGAAATTACAGCCATTTGTTTTATCCCGGGCCCCAAAATCTCTCTAGAACCATAGGTGGCATTAAGTTTAGGTTGACGACGTTTTTCAAAATGAGAGATAACCGAGATTCACATGTCAAATAGCTACGAATGAATATTGCATCACCAAGACCTCGCACAAGAATGGAAAATGTCTATCTCCAGATGATATTTTGCAACATCCCAAACCCGGCTCCATCTGTCTGTGATTCTATTAACATAGTATCCCTAGATAGCTATAATGTATTCTTTCACATGTTTTGGTAAGCGATTTGATTCCGTGTAACAACTTTTATTTAAGAGGATACCGATCTTGAAACGGCTCCAAATGGAACCAATATCTTTAAACAAAGAAATATACGCCATGTTTCAGCGTAATTCAAGGTGAGTTGAATGGAAGTTAAGTTCTTTACTTCCAAAAAAAAACCACTCTCGCGCGACGGATATCTATCAGACAACAGAGAAATGACTAGTCCTATTTCCGGTAGGTCGTAAAATGGCGGACATGTAAGTCGTGCATGGAACTAACTTATCCCTAATCAATCTACGAGCATTTATCAGAGGCGGCAGACTAGCTAGTCACAGTGACCGCCTATACAACAGTTAGACGAGTTATTTCTATTTTCACTGGATAATTGTTGTAAAGTCATCTTGACAATGCTAGCGAGCTTTGATTGATGTTTGTGGGCTGCCGAGGCTTCTACCACTGACGTCACTTGGTCTAGCTAGATTCTCCAGCGATCTACCGACAAGGAATATGTATGTATTTCTGAACGAATCTAATGACAGCAAATGACCAACTATAAGGCCATTTAAATTCTTTTATAAGTAAAGATAGAACAGCTTTATAAAAAAAACATTTCACTGTGTCTTTTCATTATGTATTTTTGTGATATTCTTTGCATAATGACGTCATAGAATTGTTCAATTAATGTTTAATGACGTCATACTTTTTGTAATTAATATTATTTATCTAATGACGTCATATCATATGTTACACATTTAATTACGTCATATTAGTATTTTATTATTAATTATGCAACGATGTCATTGTATTCTGCGATAAATATCTAATGACGCCATAATACTGTATTTATGTCATAATATTGATGTTATGATGTCACAACATGATGCGATATACTACATGTATATCTGATGACGTCAGAACATTCTGTTATTAGCACAATGTTATGACGCCAAACGTAAACAGTGGCGGATACATGAGATTTATCGGGGGGGGGGCCAAATTTCCAAGGGGGGGTTTCATGTTCGGGAAAATTGAGGAAAATTGTGAAAATACAAGATTTTTAAAGAACATTTTCAGAGTGGAGGGTTTCTTGAAGCCCAAAAACCCCCTCTGGATCCGCCTTTGGTAAACAGCAAGACATTACGTGCATAATATCCAGTAAATACAACACAGGTTTAATAGTTTCAATCTCTGCCATCACTGAAAAACCGGATCTGTGACGTTATATTAATGTCAATAAATTGACGTCTATGATTCTATTTGAGTGATGCCTTGGCAGCAATTCGTGTTCATAAGTGTGAAAAAAGTGAAATTCATAAAAGTCTTTCGCACAGATTTCATTAAAGATTTTCAAAGACATTCTCAAATGAGCAAATCCTAACTCACACAATCAGAAATTTCATATGAAAAAGAAAAGCATTTTATTGAAATATATGGAGAATTTGTTTATAACTTTCTTTATACCGCGACACCTGCCCAAGCCGACCTGAGACTAATCTGGAACTCTGAACAGTCCGAAATTCAGAAAAAAATACCTTTATCAATTATGTTTAAATCAACCACGCGCATTCATGCAACATATGTATCGTCGAAATATACTATGTTGCGTCTAGAAACGCCCACTATTCTGGTTTTATTAGTAGATAAATACATGTAGCATCTTAAAACCCTTTTTGATTAGACATCGAACCAAGAGCTAATTCCATGTCATACAGTAGGACTTAATAATACGGAAGTTTTAAATCTAGAAAATGAAAAGCTAGATAGAGATTTTTGTTCCTTCTGAAACAGAGATTTTATCTTACAAGTATCATTTCCTGGATACCACAGTCTGTAATGTGAGTTTTCTGTGTACCGTCCGGTTTATTGAGGTTCTAACATAAAGATTCACACTCGTTTATCCGTATATATGTCTTTGAGTGTTTTTCTTTGATGGTCAAATAGGGTATTTTTAATTGACGGCAATCAAATATCGCATTTTTAAGTCACGTTTGATTTGGGATGAGATAATTTTCAAAATAATCTCATTTAAATTTCAATGATGAGAACATATTAGCGATAAAAAAAATATTCAATCTTAATTTCGCAAGTATGGAAATCCGAAAAATCGCGTTGTGTACGAAATACAATAGATGTACAGATATTTATTTATTAAGCGTTAATTTATGTTTAGATTATTTATTATCAGGACGCTGTCCCTCTGCTTTGTATTTATGGTTTTGTGTGTTTACTTAAGGAGGTATGCTACATTACTGTAATGATTAGTAAATTTTGTATCTCCACTTTCAAAAGAGTTCCACAATGACACGTCTATGTTCACGAATTTCTGAAACTTTGATTTTACTAAAAAATTATCAATTCATGGTAATTTATGTCATTCTGAACCGTAGGAATTGAAATTCAGCCGGTTTAAAGGGAGCTTACTCTAACATAAATCACACAAACGTGTTACATGTAAGGTAGCATACATCCTTAACATATACTAATGTAACGAAGACCCGGGATGGACTAGGCAAGCTGTGATATAATTACGTACACGTGTCAAAGATACCGTCCAGGGCCCAATCTGTTCGAAGCCTGGTCAGCTTACCGAGTATTTGACAGAAGTTTGAAAATCCATTTTTTTTAATATCTGAATATTTACAAAGATTTTTGTACTTCTTATCTTCAGATTTTAACTCTAAATCCATAATATATACAGTAAACATTCAGTTTTAGTTTTAAATTTCATTTTGTTTTTGAAAGATACCAGATTAAAAGTGTGTATTAAGTCGTCATTAAGCTGGCCAGGCTTTTGAGAGCTAGGCCCAGATGAACATGTACAGATGATTGCAGGCGTAACCCTGCATACCAATGCAACCTTTGATTATTAAACAATAAACACTTACACATGTGTCATTGTCTTCTTATTCATTAAACGTGATCCATGGAACAGATTTCGACACGAGCGGATGGGGATCAGGGGTATGGAAAGGAGAAGGAATACAGTTTTCCTGAAAAGATACAACGAAAATTATGAAAACGTTCAATTTCTTTTATATTGAAGCTAGTCGATATTTAGAGTTATCTTGGTTTTTGTAAGAGTGGTGTAATAATTGTTTTCCTTGTACGATTACCGAGTGAAGGTTCTTTGATGTACCTAATACGCGTATTGTACAGTTCTAGAGGAAACCGGTTTTTGTTTCCAGCAGAAAGCGTCTCGAAAGATGTGGACATCTAAAATTGAACTTCAACTGTAGGTGTAATTGGCATAATTTTATATCAACACAATAAGGGACAATTTATAGTGTATGGAAACTAGAATTATTACGATCTTACCATGGAGTCTATATAATGTAAAACATGAAATGTCCGGGGGTACCATACGTAGCTTTCCGTTTCGTAAAAAAGGGAGTTACCTCTCCTTACAGCAGATAGGTTTACGGACGGTTTTACGGGTTCAGATTGGTTTGATAATGTTATTTTTTAATATCAACAGTTACAACCAAATCTAGATGTTGTAATATTTTATGTAGTTTATAGTCTCGGTTTTACTGTAACCGCGAAAATCCGCCCACAACTAAGGAACCATATTCAGTTGATTGATTATGATATATGTCTTGGAAGATCGACAAGATTTTTTTCATGTTTTACTTTCAAGATTCAATATCAATGCATCATAGTCAATCATCACGTGTCGAATATTCACTTTCACCCACATACATGTGTGAAAGGGATACACATTGGAGGTTTTTCTGTAACATGTACTAAGAGCTTCGTGTGCTAAAACACACAGGAAAGAGAGAAATGCATTGTCATAAATCCGTCTTGTTGCGTCATCGTCTGTCAGATTATAGGCTTGCTCTCGGCATGAGCTGTGCAACTTTCCACCAGGACTGCGCACTGCTGTACAAAAATATATAGTTGTATGTATTGTTAACAGTTGTATAACAGAGCTCAGCCATGTTGGAGAGTAGCGATACTATACCAAGACCACAGTTTACGATATTAAGGTAGAGACTGTCTTAGGTTTTATTATGACGTCATTAAACGTTCAGGATCATAGGAGGAATATAATCACGAATCCGTTTCTTTGAAACTGGTACTATAATATTGTAATCATTGTTTGCTGAGATGTATGCCATGCTAGACCCCAGAATGGGTGCATTAAGCATACACATGTATATGCGTTACGTTATTTTTGGGCATTAAGACATGTTAGTGAATTATGGAACTAATAACGTACCATAGTGTGATATGGAGACTTAAGGGTGTATGATGCATCACTTTAATATGTTCCTCCTTTACAAAAGTGTTCCTCCCTAAGAAACACAATGAAAGGAAAGAACAATCGATAAAAAGTAAAGGGAAATAACTCTAATACCAATGACAGACTTAATGTGTCAGGTAACATGTAACCTTAATTAATAATTGATGGCAGTCTCCGTAGGCAGTGCAACGGAAGAGTTTAATTGAGGAAATACCACAGAGTTCGGAACCTTGAATTGAGCAATGGAACATGGATTGTCGAATCAATAAATACTAAAAACGTTAAATGAAACGTGTGTACTGCAATTGTCTCCCGTTTATTGAGTAGTTCCGTCAAAGTTTGTATCAAACAGGAAAATTGGTTTGACAATTTAACATTAGATTAAG